GGGCGCTGGGGCTGAGCGCTGCTGGGCTCTGGCTGACTGCTAGAGCCACCCCAGCTCCTAGACAGCGCACCGTGCCCTGCCGAGCCATGCTGCACCTGCACCACCCTGCCAAGTCACGCTGCACCTGTGCCCTGGGGCAGTTGCCGCATTCCTTGCACTGCACAGGGGGGGCACTGCCACGAGCCCTCAGAGGCCCCAATTGCCACTGCTGCAGCCAGTGAGTGCGGGGCTTTAAAAAAAAAGTGCCAGGAGGCTGGGGCCAGATGGGGGATACGGCTGGGCAGGACAGTCATGGGGGTTTCTCCTGTGGCTCCCCCAACCTGGAGAGAGGTAGGCACAGCTGAAGAAGCCACGGGAGAACCTGCAGCCACCCAGCTGTAGCTGCCTCTCCCCAGCCAATCCGAATCTCCAAATCTGTGCCAAAACAGCATCAAAACTCCGAAACAGATTCAGCCGAATCAAAACAGAACAGCGATCCAAAACACTGAAATGAATCACTCCCCTCTGAAATGGTCAAATCCAAAACCGAAATGAACTATAGCCGTTTCGCACAGCCCTGAGAGAGACAATGGTTAGCAGAAAAAAATATGGTGTGACTGGATTAAATGTATACAAACACCACTTTTGTGCAACAGCTTAGATGAATTTATGCATAACTTTGGTCTGCATAGATGATTTTGAATCTTAATCTATACATAATCTACTATAAATGACAGAATTCAAATTCAAGGAGTTTCTGCCTGAATTTACATTAAGAGCGTTCATTAAATCTTCGAAGCACAAGAGAGTATAAATAAAATTAGCACGCATGTATTTGCCACATATGGTAACTTTGCAGCTGGTTTCACAGCAGAACTTGTCAGACAGCTGATAGGTTTCTGTGACTTGGTTCTAAGTTCATAAACTTACTTGTCCCTAGTCACTGCGAAGGCGAAGCACCATTCATCCAATGGTTCAGTGACAAAAGTCACTGAAGAGCATTAACAAGTTGCTATTTTTTACATGTGTAGAGCCAGGTGTTCAACTGTAATTATAAAAGAGAGGAAACTTAAACCAGGCCTCCACAAAGCATGCAGTAACAATATAAATAGTGTAGATTCTTTTCAATGAACTTAGGAAGGAGATTTGGAGTGCTTTTAAAGGAAAAAAAGAGACATCGCTACTATTTTGTTAAAGGCAAGCTGTCTAATTTTGCATTCAGTGCAGGGGACTGGATTCATAGATTCATAGATGCTGGGGTCAGAAGGGACCTCAATAGATCATCAAGTCTGACCCCCTGCATAGGCAGGAA